TTTTGGTTTTTCGAGACAGGGTTTCTCTGTGTAGCTTTGCGCCTTTCCTGGAACTCACTTGGTAGTCCAGGCTGGCCTCGAACTCACAGAGATCCGCCTGGCTCTGCCTCCCGAGTGCTGGGATTAAAGGCGTGCGCCACCACCGCCCGGCCGTGTTACCCCCTTTTAAGACCCATGGCTAAACTGTTTTCCCGAGGTCTGTGGGGTCCTTCAGCAAAGTAATCAAATCAAATCAAATCTCTTTATAGCTGGTCAGTCAGAACCACAGGTAAAACAACCCAGGGCTTTTATGATTGGTGTCCAAGAAGGGCGACCTCAGGGGACCAAACACGCCACCTGTGGTAATCTGACACTATCTGAACAGCCTGTGTCAGAGTAGGGTTACAGGATGCCCAGCTGGTGTCCGCTGGAGACTTGCTCTACGGGGAAATCACACACATAAACACACATCTGATGCCCAAGGTATTGTGAGGAGTAGTGAGAGAGGAGATGTTTGTTTCTGCCCCTGGTAGTGTGGGCAAGTTAAGTACAAAGAGTTTTGCAAGAAAAGAGAAGTGAATGTACTGGAGAGCCAGAGTCCAGGAACCAGGCCTGTCTTTTGCTCCGGCCAGCGGGAGTTGCTGTCCAGCTCTGTGGTTAGCCAGATCCTGGGAGATGCATAGTTGTGGTGGGGAGGAGGGGCTGTGAACACCTGACACTCCTTCCTCATGTTATTCCTGCTTCTTTATGTCACCTCCCATGTCCCTATCCTTCTGGCCACCTGGTGGTTCCCTGGTCACCTTCTCCAGCAGTTAGAGTAACCCCAGGGCCAATAGACTTCATGAAGGAGGGGCAAGGTGGCTAAGAGGATGCTCTATTGTCCTGCCCTATTGTGGAACAGTTATGAAGGGTACCCCAAAGAATCCCTAAGAGCAGAGGTTCTCAACCTGTGGGTCTCAACCCCTTGGGGTTATATATCAGATATGCATCAGATTTACATTATGATGCATAACAGTAGCAAAACCAGAGTTATGAAATATCAAGGAAATAATTTTATGGTTGGGTTGTCACCACAACATGAGGAACTGTGTTAAAGGGTCACAGCATTAGGAAGGTTGAGAACTGCTGCCTAAGAGGGTCTCAGGAAACTGGGCCCCTCTGACCACTGTTCACTCTCTCTCCTGGTCTACTACCTCAAAATGAGTCAACATCAGCTCTGGGAGGACTCAGCCACCAGTGGATGGCTGATGAGCTCCAAGGACAGCCGGGTGACAGCCGAGCTGAGCCGGCTTGCTCAGGGTAGATTAAACACCCTCAGCTCTGTGCACCAGAGGCTTCACTACCACACTGTGTGGCCCTGTGTCCCCAAATCCACAGAGTAAGGAACAAAACCAGAGTTGTACCTGAAAACTTCTGTCACCATTTGTTTTTAATGTCAACTAGACATAATCAAGAGTCATTTAGACGGAGCTGGAGAGATGGCTCAGCGGTTAAAAGCACTGGCTGCTCTTTCAGAGGACCCAGGTTTGACTCCCAGCACCTGCATGGTGCCTCACAACTGTCTGTAACTCCAGTTCCTGGGTATCCAATGCCCTCTTCTGACCTCTGTGGGCACTGCACATACATGCATACATGTCTGTGGTACACAGACATACATGCGCGCAAACACCCATATATATGTGTGTATTTATATACACACATATATAATTATACCACATACATTACATTATATATAATTATATATATACTAAAATTATATATAATAGATATAATAATAAATTTTAAGGAGCCATCTAGGATGAGGGGGTCTCCTTTGAAGGATTGCCCAGAGTGGCCTGTAGCTATCGATGTCTGTGGGAATTGTCTTGATTATTGACTGATGTGGGAAACACCAGCCCACTCTGGATAGCGTCACTCCTGGGCAGGGGTCCAGGATTATATATAATTTATTATATGCAATAAAGCTGGTGGAGCACAAAGCAGAGGGGGTGAGGCAGTAAACAGCATCTTCCATGGTTTCTGCTTTGGTTCCTGCCCCGACCTCCCCCAGTGATGGACTGTGGCCTGGGGAGAGTAAGATGCAATAAACTCTACCATTCCCAAGTTGTTTTCATTTAGTGTTTATCACAGCAACAGAGAAGCAAAGGAGGAGGACCCCCTTCTTGCTGCTGGCCCTTTGAGCTCCCTAGCACTGTCCAGGGAAGCGCCAAAGTCAGGGAGGCTCAAACAATGGAACGCTATTTATTCCCAGCTCTGGAGATCAAGGGCGGATAGAACTGGTTTCTGCTGAAGCTTCTCCCTGTGCCTCACGTGTTCCTCTGTGTGTGGCTATGTTCAAATGTTTTCTTCCAGAGACACAGTTGTAGGCTGAGGAGACAGTTCCGTCAGTAAAGTCCTTGCTGTGCCACTTCTAAATTTAACCCCCCTTGCAGAACAGTACTGCTAGGCAAGTGTGAGGACCTGAGTTTGAATCCCCGGCACCCATATAACAAACTGGGTGTGCGGCATGCACCTCTAACTCTAGGACTGGAGGGCAGAGACAGGTGGATGTGGATGTGGGTGGGAGGGCTCACTAGACAGCCAGTCTAGCTAAAAGGATGAGCTCTGGGTTTAGTGAGAGACGCTGTCTCAAAAAATCAAGTGGAGAAGTGATTGAGAAAGACATCCTGATGTCAATCTCTGGCTTCCACAGGTGTCCTTGTACACACACACACACACACACACACACACACACACACACACACACACACACACACACACACACCAGAGAAAAAGAATGACATCCTGATGTCAATCTCTGGCTTCCACAGATGTCCTTGTGCACATGCACACACAGACACACAGACACAGACACATACACGCACATGCACACACACACACACACACACCAGAGAAAAAGAAAGACACAACTGTAGTGAATTGGATCTGTTCTAATGTCCTCATTTAACTAACTATCTCACTGAAGACCGCATCTTCGACTAGTCACAATCTGGGGGGCAGACTCTGAAGTAGAGTTGAGGTAGGAACACCAGTCAGATACCAGTCAGATCTTTGATTTCAAATGGGCTGCTATTCATTTGGTTTGGGGACCAATCAAACGCAGAAAGGGTTGCCTTCGCCCTCCCATGGATGGCACAGGGCTCTCCCAGCCAGACACTCTCTTCCTAAGCGTGGCCTCCCCTGCTTCAAATGCCAGGGACACGCTGGCCATCTGTTGCTCAGACCTGGCTGTGAACTTTACCCCCAGAGAGGTTTTAAAATTTAAATCCCCTTGCAGAATATTAATTCTGCTTGCCTCTTTCCTATCCCAGATCCCAAAGGAGCTGGTGGTAATTGAGACCCAGCCAGGCAGTCCTCTCACAGGCCAGCTTGGGTTCCCAAGGTGGAGGTGCTGGGGAGTGTTTTTATTTGCATTTTAACGGCTTCAAACTCCAGAGCGTTCCCCCTGAGCCCTGGAGGGGCCTGAGCTCTTTCCATTCCACTCCATTCCACCTGCCGCTGCCTGACACAAAGCTCTGTTTGTGTCCCTGTGGCTGTGGGGGAAATGGCTAACCCTGCACCACCTCATCCACCAACAGGCCACAAAAAGCCCAAACATGAGGTGCAGATCAAAACAGGCCAGGCTGCGGCTCTGCCAAGCCAAACAGAGAGGAAACAAGCCCAAGCCTGCAGAGAAACCAGATTCCCCTGAAACGGCTGCTCCCTGCTGTGTCTGGAAGGCCCGCTCCAATAAAGCAGCTCGGAAAGGCCCAAAGGACCCCCACGGCCCTCAGCTTGACGGAGGTGCCAATAAAACTCTCAGAACATCCAGGCTGCAGGCCCTGTAGGCACTGCCCGGACGTAAACCAGCTATGAGCAGCTAGGGAGTGGGAGGGAAGAGGCCTGCTCCCGACAAGGCCCACCAGCCAGCAGCCCACAGGCCAGAAAGTAACAGAGAAGCCATTAGGGAGAAGGAGGCCAAGGTGGTTGGATGGGAGGGGGAGTCTGCCACCTCTCCAGGCCTCTGCTCCAAAACCAGGCCTAAGCTGTTAACTCCATGGGAGCTTCAGGAAGGAGCCATGGCCGCCAGCAAACACAGGTTCCTAGAGGAATCTAAAGGAAGCGGTCCCAGGAAACAACCGCAGACCTAGGGGCTATAAACTCAACTTTGAAGGCACCCTGGAGATGCTGTGTGCTGGTCCACAGAGAGGAGAGGGTTGTGTGTGTGTGTGTGTGTGTGTGTGTGTGTGTGTGTGTGTGTGTATGTGTGTGTGTGTGTGTGTGTGTGTGTGTGTATCAGAATCCACAGTCACTAGACATACCAGTCATGTATGTGCATGCCAGTAGTTTTCATGTGTACAGCAGGCCCTCTTTATTTGTGGGAATGTGGAATTGTCTGTAGATTCAGCCAAGGGCCGTCATAGATATTTGAAAAACAACGTAGTTAGGCCTATAGAATTTTCATCTGTATATTCTGGTGATTTCCTGAGCGAGACAGCGTATTTATATAGCATTAAAGTGCATGGGAGGGTGTGTACAGGTGAAATTCAAAAGCCACATCATTTTACATAAGGGACTTGAGTGTCAGTGGATTCGGATATCAAGGGTGTTGTACACAGTGGACATGGGTATGGAGAAGGCACATGCACACATGTGTGTGTTTATGTGTCTGTAGGGTTCCCAAATTTAACAAATCAAATATAAGATGCATAGTTGAATTTGGATTTAGACACATGCCAAAAAAAAAATCACAAATAGGTTTTAATAGAAATATCCTCCAACATTCCATGGTACATATACTAACATGGATCTTTGTCAACTTACAGGCAAAAATCAACTTGAATCCCTTAATTTTGTTTTTTATAGTTAGTCTGAAAAAAAGAAATAAAAGAACACCCCCCACTCCAACACACACAGTTTTTCTTAAAGAGATTCGAGTGAAAATCCCAGCTAGCCCAGCTCAAGGCTGTGACAGGAATTCCCTGAGGCCATGGGCAGGCTGGGATAGAATCCAGTCTGTCATCTGGAAGAGAGCCTGGAGGCGCTCTTTGGTGAATGTTAGCGCAGAGGGCAAGCTGTTTGCCACCTGGACAGTCTGCGCCTTGGCCCTCTGCGGTGCCCATGGCTCGTCTGCATCTTCGTGAGTAGCCTTTCATTTGTGCATGGACGGGGCAGTCAGAGGATGAGCCTAGCAAGGGAGAGCCCCAGAGATCAATCCTCACGCCCCAGCAGAAGATCATGCAGACCTAGAAGCCACCGGAACCCCTGTGATCTGTGCCCCTTTCTTTCAACTTAGCAAGCCTGTGCTTCATGACATCGTGTTGGAGGTCAGCTCCCGACACTTGGGAAAATAAAGACCCAGAGGTCATCCTTCTCGCCAGAAAAGCCTATTTAAGCACTTGGGGGCCTGCCTGGGTGACAAAGTTTAGCTCCCAGAGCAAGGACATGTTCCTGTCCCACAAGAGAAGGATTCAAGGTGGTGCTCTATCTGGCCATCTCACATCCACACACGCAGGTTGAAAACCCCTGCCCTCTGCAGAAAAGGCCTGGGAAGCCTGTGGACATTCTGACCCAGGGGACCACAATAGAGCCCACCCAGGGAGAGTCAGCTGCCTTGAGGCTTCTCTGTGTGCCCGGTGTGCATGCCCACATCTGCCCATGGCAAGCTGAGTAAGTGCTTGGGGGAGAGAAAGTGCTGGCTATGTGGAGAAGGGGGCCTTCTGCCCTCTTGCTGAGGAAAAACTGACTGCTCAGCTGACTGAGCATGCTCACAAGCCCCTCCTCCTCAGAGCCAAAAAAGCAGGTGGGTGTCCAGTCATCACTAGCTCATCTGCTTCTGTTCCCCCAGAGGAAGACGCTGCATTTAAATCTGAGAACTGCAAGGATGAACCTGGCTGGACCAAGAAAGGTAGGCATTGGCAGCGTGTGGGAAAGTGGCTTCTCTGGCCAGGAGCCAGCACCGAGACAGTCTTCATTTGACTGGAAGGTTGTGTCAAGACAGCTGAGGCGCCAGATGGGCTCAGACAGCTCCGTGAAGTCCAAGAGACCAGCTCCCTGCTCCTGCACTCTGTAAACCACCCAGTAGGGGGCACTGTTGACCCCACATGGGCTAGCTCAACACCTACTCAATGTGGCTGCTGTCCTAGAAGTCACCAAGGAGTGAAGGCTGCTCTAGGCCCTATAGCAGTCCGCTACAGTCCCAGAGTGCCCAGCTGCTTGCAGGCTGCTCACATCAGCCCTACCTGGCACAGCCCAGTCACTTCTTGCTTCCTTAGGGCTAACACCCGCCATCACTGTCCCAGACACCATTTACCGAATGTGCCGGGTGCTTGGGACTTACTCCAAACCCACAGGAGTCCTCTGGATAGGGAGTGATTATTCCCATTTTACAGATGTGAAAGGCAAGGCTCACGGGGCTTCCTTCTGTTGTCATGTCTTTCCAGTTCTACAGTCCACGCTCCTGCCTCAGCTGCTATCCTTGCACGGAGCTGCCTGCCCCCGGCATCAAGGAAATCCTTGGCTAGCTGTCCCTCATGTGCCACCCACAGCACCTCAAATGGCCCCCACATCTCTAACTGAGCCCCAAATCAGGAGAGGGTGGTGGGAGACCAAGCAGAATCCAGCCCCTTTCCTAGTCTGGGGGAGTCAATCGGCTTCCTGGTGGGGGTAGCACTCCAACTTGGAGCCCAGAAGCGCTAGGGTCAGTCCTGGAGCGGGGTTGGGTGAGCACTTTCGGAACATGATGCTTCCTATCTGAAGGGGAAGGCCCAGGGAGCTGAGTTGCTGCCTGCAGAGGCCAGCAAGCATAAGTTGAAGAGCAGGTCCTGCTTTCTCCTTACCCACTCCAGGGGACATCTGACAATGTCTGCGCACATTGTGGACAGTCCCATCTAGGAAGGCTAGAACTTCTGAGATCTGGTGCGCAGGGGCCAGCGAAGCTGCTGCACGCCCCCACACTGCCCAGGATAGTGCAGTGAGACCAGACTGCTCTGTCCCACAAACACATGGTGTGCTGTAGAGATGCCTGCTCTAGCCCTGTGCCTTTACCGTCTGATCTTTCACAGAGCCTGGGAGACGTCTGGTCCGGCAGCATGGAAGTTCAGAGGGACCCTGCTTGGAGGTCTGAAATAGCAGTGACAACACTGGTTGAGACATACCCAGGGGCCTGACCCTCGGGGTGGCTGTGCTGGACTCTCTCCCAAACCTGAAATGAGTGTAACGTGTTCTGTAGAGGGACAGAGCCGACAGACAGTCTGTCCAAGACCACACAGCCGTAGCACACAGAGCCCAGATTTAAGCCTGGAAACGACGAGGGGATTCAAGGCCTACATTCTTCCCATACCTGGCCACCCCCTGCAGAGTTCCCACAGAACACACAGGCCCCTCGCTTTCCAAAACAAACAGGAGCTTTCTGCAACCTCCCTTCGTTCATGGGCATGTCATCTGTGATCCCGTGGGACCAGTGTTTTCCGGTTCTCAGGTTCGCCAACTCTACTTAAGCACTTGGCTGTCCCTAAGCCTCAACTTTTCCCCATCCCCTACCTTGTAATAGAACCATCAAGGCCTGCGTTGTGGTAGGGCTGCTGGCTAGGAACACCCCAGTGGCTGCGTGCAGGTGCACATCAGAGGACAGGCTCAGCTCTGTTCACCTTCCTCGGCCTTGCACTTAATCCCTGTTCTGATTGGCCCAGGCAGGTATTTTCCACCTCCAGGGTCATGGAGTCTTCGCATACTTGTGTGGACAGCCAAGCAACCAACCCATGTGAACCCTAGAACAAAGAGGCCTCAGAGCCCCTTCCCTGACTCCACAGCAGCTCAATGCTGCACTTGTGACCAGCCCAGGGCTGCCTGAGTCCTGAACATTATGCATTGTCTGAGGCCAGCCCCCTGAGGCCAAGGGGCACAGACCAAGGTCCCCCTTAGAGCAGGAGATAAGTGAGGGACATGCCTGCTGCCTCTACGGCAGCGCCCGGGACACTTGTCTCAGCACCAGGCTTCTGGGGACTCAGGAAAGAGAGGTAAAGGCTTCAGGTGAAGATACTCCTCGCAGCTCTCAGAAGCTCTGATCAGTCCTGACTCACGGAGAGCCCCACATTTTTCTGCAGAGTCCTGGACAGAGGCAACCCTGGAGCCTAGAGTGGAATGCACCCCAGCTGAAGCCAAACACTCGCTTTTCACTGAACCAGAACAAGCCCGGAGTGTTTTCCAAAGCCGTTCACTCGGAACATGAGTGCATTTGTTTATTCATCCAATCTTTCCTCACCGGCTGGCCTGCGTCCTCTGAGCTGGCACGGTTCAAGATGGGTGGATGATGGGGAGGAGGAAGTGAGGGCCGCCACAGAGAAGGTGGCACACTGAAGAAACGGCCAGCCTGTGTCCCCAGTGCCAGCCGGTGTCTGGTACATGAGCCGTCACTACAATGTGCTCAAAGAAAGTGGGGAAGGGCAGGCAGCCTGGAAGTCAAGCAGGGGCCCTAACAGAAGTGTCATTAGGTACCCCAGACGAGGCAGGGCCTCTTACGGTCCCAGAAGACTGAAGACAAGATAAATACATATTTTACCTGCCTGTTATTTTATCTCTACTGTCTGTTTTTATCTAAAGGAAATGACATAAGTCAAGAGTATTAAAAGGGGCAGTTGAGTTTTCAAAGGTCTGCAAGGTATTCTGAGCAAAATGCCTGGTTGAGCATCCATCCATCCATCCATTTGTTTATTCATCTTTGCTTCATTCATTCACTGACCAGCCTTCACAGAACACCTACCTAAACCAGAATCCCGGAGTCTCATCCACTCCCTATGCACTTTCAGCTTCCATAGCAACAGAAAAGCATCCCCCAGGACACCTGCCCTTAAGCTTGGGCCCTAGCAAATGGCTTAAAGGAGATGTCTGATTAGCTTGAGCTGGGTACAGAGAGGGAGGGCCTCCAAGCATGCAGCTACCATTCCGTCAATAGCTTTGGTCTTTACAGTTTATAAAACACCGTCACTTCTGGGTGTGTCTTTAGACCTTCATAACAATTCCAGAAGTTCCCAAAAAGGTAAAACTAATGGAATAGAAAGGAAAACAGAGGCTTGGGGGTTAAGCAGCACCAGCAGCACCTCTGAGTTAGAAGCAAAAGCAAACCCAGAGCTTGAACCAAAGCTTCAAGGTGTGACCAGATGCTGCGAACTGATACAGAGAGACCTTGAGTAGGTATCTAAAGTAGTTAGTCACGTGCACCATCCTGAGAGTCTCAGGGATAAACACCAAGCACGTGTGGCCTATGAGGAATGTGCTAGCGGCCCAAGAATGTTCTATGGTGAGTGCATGGCGAGACTGGTTGTATTTTCCAAAGATAGCCCTGACAGCCTGTCCGATCCCACAGGATGCTCCTGTGGGATTTTCCTGTTTGGGTGGGAGCTCCACCTCAGCCCCTGGCACCCTGGCATCCTATACCCAGAGTCTGGAATGTTCTGGCGGAAGATCCACCTCAACTCCTCTCCCCCATCTCTTTCCCCAAACCCGCCCCTTCAAAGCCCACCAAACCCAGCTTCAACCCCACAGAGGCTCAAGACCTCTCCCACAGGGTATTTAAGCTGCATCCCAGGAAACAGATATGTGGTTTTCTAGTCTCTTATCTCTGTCTCCTCTCTGGGGGGCTGGAGAATCACTTGGGAACGCTTTATCCATTAAACTGGGGCTTTTTCTAATTTGGTCTGATTCGGTTTGATTTGGATTGCTGAGTCAGCAGAAAGGCTTATCGGGGTGCAAAAACCTATCGTTTCCATCTGCCCATCAGGACGTAGACTGTGCTATCACCCCCACTCCAAATCCGGGCCAGCTTTAATGACTTACCCCAGCGACAGAAGTGGTACTAGCGATGCTTTAAGATTTCTAGGGTTTGATGGCTCATCTCCATTGTCAACGGGACTGGATTTGGAATCACCATGGACACACACCTCTGAGCACATCTGTAAGGGTGGTGTTACCAGGAAGGTGTAACTGAAGAGGGAAGATGCACCCTGACCGTGGACAGCGCCATTCCATGGCTGGGATCCCCGACTGCATAAAAGGAAGAAAGAAAGCTGAGAACCAGCATTCATCTCTCTTCGCTTCCTAGCTGTGGATGCACTGGGACCAGCTGACTTAGCTCCTGCTGCCAGGCCTTCCTCCCTGGGATGGACTGTATCTCTCCAACTGTGAGCCAAATAACACCCTGCCTTAAGTTGCTTTTTCTTTGGTGTTTTGCCACAGCAGTGAGAGGTGGACTTAGTACATGGGCAAAGTCGTAAGAGGCACGGAAGTACGTGGAGGGAAGCTCAGGTCAGTCTCATGCTAATATTGGAACGAGATCCCTCAGGTCACAGCCGCCGTGAATGATCTCATGATGTCCAGTGAATGATCTCATGCCTTGCTGAGCTCCCAGTTGATGTCCTGTGACTGGGTGAGTTATCTTGGACATTGTGCACAGTCAGGCCTTCAAGTAACTACACCCAGCTAAATTCTAACTGTAAACAGCAGGGGGGAGAAAATCCCAAAAAGGTTTCCAATCTATATTCTAGAATGTTTAGGATGGTAATCCCCTTTTCCTGTCAGTGGAGAAACAGAGAAACAGTATTCCTAAAAGCAGCTCAGGGCAGGGATCCTCTGGCCCTTGCTAGGCTTGTCAGTGGAGTGTTCCAGAGAGAGTGACGCAGGGGTCAGTGTGAGCAGGATTACTGACGTGTGCTGGGGATGCTGGTGAGAGCAGTGCCCCTGGTGACCCCTTGCTTAGTCACTAGCTGTTCAGCCGAATGCATCAGGCAGAGCCGGGTCAGCAGCAGAGGGAACTGCACCCAAGGCCAGCAAGTCATCCATACGGCCCCAAAGCTGCCAAGAGTGGACACTGTGCTTCTCAGTCACGCGCTGACTCACTGGGAGACAGCTGGATTCAGGGCTTTGATGCCCCCTGAACAGAACCCACTCTTCTGCTTTCTCTGTATTCTCAGGAGTGGCACTGAGGATGTACCACAAGTACTGGAAAGAGGCTTGCTATGCCGAACAGGCTCTTTGATGCTTCACAATTTGTTCGAATACACACAACTGAGGAAACTTCAAACTGAATGTGGTAGCCCATGATGGTGACTCCAGCCTTTGGGAGTCTGAAGCAGAAAGATCCTGAGTTCCAGGACAGCCTGGGCTCACTTGTGTATTACTGTCTTGAAACAGTCGAATTTATCTAGAGTGAGTTGATGACTGCTTCCAGAATATGGAGGAAAGGAGAAAGGGAGGGAGAAGGCTAGACAACAGCTACAGCTGCTACGTGTCCTTTAATCCCACAGTGATCTGGAGATTCTCATCAGCCCATTCCACAGAGCTGCAAGGTACATTTCCAAGGTCATGACCCTAAGTGACTGAGGCAGGATCTGAAGGACAGTCCAGTTAGACTCGGAGGGCCATCTCCATTTCATTCCACCACACCGTGGGCAGTAAACAAAGGAGGTTTTTGAACAGAAATTCACTGGTCTTATTCATCAGAGTCCACTAGAACCAGTTCTCGGGAGTTCCCGAAAGTGAGCATGGGATTACCTCATTCTTGGACAACTGGAGAAGAGCAAACAAGGAAGACAGGGCTCCTGTACTGCTCCAATCAGAGTCACATTGTGTGTGTGTGTGTGTGTGTGTGTGTGTGTGTGTGTGTGTGTGTGTGTGTGTGTTGTGTCTCACACATATTGGAGGCATTAAAAATCAAGTCTGGAGGGGATATAAGTAAATAAAAAGGGGGGTAGGAGTTGGAGGGATGGCCCAGTGGGTGAGAGCACAGCTGCTCTTGCAGAGAACTTGAGTCTGGTTCCCAGCACCCGCACTGGGTGGCTCACAACCACCTGCAACTCCAGCTCCAGGGGACCTAACGCCCCCTCCTGGCCTCTGTGGGCACTGCACTATACTCACTCACACACACACACACACCCGCCCCCCTAAAACTAAAAAATTTAAACCATTTAAAGAAAATACAGTTTCATTGTTCTAAAAGGAAAAGCTTTTGGTTTTATTGTATTTCTCTTTCTCTCTTTCTAATTTTCAATTACATTGCTTTCTAATTGTATCTTAATTGCCTTTCTCTTCACTTTGGCTTTCCTTCTCTTGTTTCTTCAGGTGAAAACCTAGGTCATTTAGACTTTCTATTTCAGTGACACTCCATACACTATATTTTTCTGTGCATCTGCATTCCCTTCAAAGGATTTTTTTTTTGACCCATGCTAATGGGTCATGTTGTGGTAGTTTGAATAACAATGCCCCATAGGCTCATATGTTCGCATGGTTAGTCATCAGGGAGTGGCACAACTTGTGAAGGATTAGGAGGTGTGGCCTTGTTGGAGGAAGCATGTCACTGGGGGTGGGCTGTGAGGTTTCAAAAGCCCAAGCCAGGCCCAGTGACTCTCTCTTTTTCTGCTGCCTGCAGACCTGGATATAGAACTCTCAGCTACTTCTCCAGCACCGTGTCTGCCTGCATGCCACCATGCTTCCTGCCATGATGACATGGACTAAACCTCTGAAACTGTAAACAAGCCCCAGTTAAATGCTTTCCTTTACAAGAGTTGCCATGATTATGGTACCTCTTCACAGCAATAGCAACCCTAACTAAGACGTGTGTTATTTCACTCCTCCCACCATGGCTTTTTCTGAACATCTTCAGCATGATGAATTCTCTGCACAACTGGAATTCTTTTGCACTCACCGAGATTTGTTCTCCAGCGTCTTGGAAACTACTGCATGTTCTGATGCCTTGGGTGAGGGAGTCTTTCACTAAATCATGCTGGTTGAGTATACCCCATCCCTCTTGGGCCCCCCTTTTTCTGCATCTGTCTTTATGTTTTGGGTGAAGACCTTTCTATGATTCCACATCATCTTTTAAGCCAGGCCTCTTTCCTATCTGTTGGCTGTAGCTGCATCATGGCACACACTCTCTTATAGTAATGCTTCACACTACATGAGAGCTTTATAATAATGTACTTCCACTGTGCCTTCCCTGGCCTTTGGGCTGATTTAGCATATCTTCTAGTGTACTCGTTACAAACTTCACAATATATGGCCAGTATTTCAAGCATCCCATCACCTTTTTGCTCTGTTGTGGGTGTATGCTCATGGGAATGTAAAATGGTGCAACCACTTTGGAAAATGATTGGGCAGTTTCTGAAGCCTTGTCCCTGACCCCATCATTCCACACTTATGTGTTTATACAAAGGAAACTGGAACTTATTTCCACACAAAGCTGACACATGGATGCTCACAGCAGTTTCTGGTAGAAAGAAATAGGGGGACAGGTCAGGTGTCCGTCAGCAGGTTAATTGGCCTCAGGGACTGGCATATCCATATAACGGAACACTCTAAGACAGGAGCACAGTGCTGACACCTGCACAGAGCTAGTATAGAATTATCATGTGGGAGCCAGGAGGAGCAGATGTGTGCTACTGTGCGCTGTCAATCACTTGAAGTCCCAGAAAATGCAAATCAGCCAGCCCAGTGGTTACTGGGGATCAAGAGTGAGAGAGGGGATGGATTGCAACAGAGCACAGGACACTTTGGGGGGTTAGTAGATAATGATCTTCACCATAGTGACGTTTCCATGGCAATACCTGAGCCCAAGCTCAAAGCTTGTGCTTTAAATATGTGTGATTTATTGCATGTCAACCAAACAGCAATAAAAACATAAACATTTATTGAGCGGGCTTAAAGCAGATTGGGAATGACCTAATTGGTCAGTGAATTTGATAACATAACATGATACAAACTGAGAAAATAACATTGGGAAAACAATGGAGAAAGTCTCAGCCCACAGCAGGACACTGTCTAGCAAGTTAATATGTGTGTACTCAGAAGTTCCTAAGAAGGGAGACGAGGGGACAAAAAATATATACAGAGAAATAATGGGCACAGTTTCCCCAAAGTTTCAGCAAAAGCTCAACTCTAGAAATTAGAATACAGAGGAATCGACACAATGATAAATTCTCAGAAAGTAAAACTAATGAGGAGTGTTAGAATTAGCCAATGACCCTGAGGGGACTGGGGAGGGGGCTTTTAGATCAGTGGTTAGATCCTGAGCATAGCAAAAAAGAAGGAAGAAAGAAGACAGAGGAAGAGGAGGGTGAAGGGAAGAGAGAGAGAGAGAGAGAGAACAAAGAAAAAGAAAGGAGGAGGAGGAGGAGGAAAGGGGGAGGAAGGAAGAAAACAATACACTTTCTAAAAAGATCCAGAATAAAAAAAGGAAAGGAGCCCACAACGAGGGTGGCAGCATCCTCTTTAATAGAAACAGAGATGAGATAATGGCATCTAATCCCATGCTGCTTTAATAACAGAGACGTGTTCTGAGACACATCCTGTTGGGAGGTTTTGTCCTGTGAACACCATCCGGTGCACCCATATAAACTAAGATAGCTACAGAGCCACTAGGCGGCATCATCTAATGCAGGGCTGTCATTGGCTGAAATATCACAAGCGTATCACCTGACGCTATAGGTGTGTGTAACATATGAATTTGTGCACATGTGTGTGCAGGTGTGCTTATCTAGAGGTTCACATGAGGTGTCTTCCACCTTAGTGTTTGAGACAAGGTCTCTTACAGAGCAGGAAACTCTGTTTTAGCTGGACTGGCCAGCGAGCCCCTGCATTGAGATCAC